AAAAACACAAATTTTGAAATTGCTAATTTATTTTTTTAATTGAGAAAAAGACAGAAAACCACAAATCACAAAACATTTTGAAAAATCCTGTTAATTGTGGTGTTGAAATTTAAAGTCTCTTTACTGTTTCCATTTCAGGCACATCATATTCTGATTTTGCGTGCCTTTTCTTTGGCAAATGTTGTCACCAATTCCTTCAGGTCGAGCGCAGATGCTTCAGCATGTTCAAACTGAAATAGCTGCCAAAACTAGTAGTCTCTTTTGCAGCATTGTCGAGCGTATGTGTGTGTTTTTATAAGTTTGAGTTTTGAGAAACTGCGTTCACCACTTGCCACTGACACTGGAAGCGTGAGAAGGATCCTTAGAGCAACAGAAACATTAGGCACACTATCCTGGAGGTTTTGTTGAAGTATGAGGAGAAGTGCTCTTTGTGGTGGCATAGACTTTGGAAGTCTTCGAGCTACTGATTCAAGTTCACTATGCAGAGCTTCAGCATCAATATCTTTGTTTCCATTGTGTGTCAGTGCTTGTTCCAAATTATCACAGGCCTTCCGTACATCTTGTGGGGATTTTTTTCTAAGACTGTAGATCTCATACAGGACGCCAAAGAGGGAATTATAGTGCTGTAGTTGTTGGAATCTCTCTTCAACTGATTGTATGGCCACATCTAAGACAGCAGAATAGAAATTCACTTTGAATTTTTGCTTTGGATGTTGTGGTGCCTCTTCTGGGCCCTCATACTCAAACTGCCTTTTCTTTCTCCTTTGTCTTTGTTCTTTCTCAAAATTTGGTAGTATTTCTCATTCCTTTGCAATCTCAGTAGCATCTACCAAAACGTGTTCAAAAACCTCATCACACCTACAGTCCACAAGGTACTTCTTGGTTACTTCTAATTGGCTTGTAGCTAAATTTAAATCAGCTTCCTTATTTTGTAGTGCCTTGCTTGTGACATTAATTTCAAAAAGGATGTTGTACCATGTAAGAAGTGCTACCACAAACTTGAACTTACTAATTGCATCAGCAAGACCCTTAGCTTCAACTCTAGAATCACTTGTGGATGATTTCTGTAGGTTGGGGTCATTAAACATCATATATATTACCAAGATGATATCTCAGTGGTTTCAAAGCATCAATGTGACTCTCCCATCTGGTTTGACTCAGTGGCTTAACAGTGATGGCCGATACATGGCTAGTTAGAATTTGCCAACGATTATTTGATGCAGAGAAATAATTATAGATCTGCGGGACCAACATGAAGAAACTTGTTGCTTCCAGGCAACATTTAGCAACATCATTGACTTCTAGGTTTAAAGAGTGTGCGCTGCAGGGCACGAAAAAGGCACGTGGATTTGTTTCCAGGACTCTCCTTTGTTCTCCATGTTCTTTACCTCTCATGTTACTCCCATTATCATAACCTTGACCCCGCAGATTCTCAAGTGGTAATCCCATTCCCTCAAGCACTCCAAGAAGAGTTTCTGTCATAAAGGCACCTGTAGTCTCCTTCAGTGGAACAAATCCCAAGAAATGTTCTCTTATCATAACATCAGGCTCAGACATCTCAGTATCTGGTGGTTTGATTATAGTGTCAAAAAGTATAATAATAGTCATTTGTTCAGTATGACTAACATCAGGTGGGCAGTCCAGAATAACTGAGTAGTATTTGGCTGAGTTTACACGTGCTAAAATGCTCTTCTTTATAGCACTTGCTAGAAGCTCTATAAGCTCATTTTGGATGTTTTTTCCTAGGTAGTGAACCATGGTCTCTTCATCTTTAACTCTGCGCACATGTTCAGTCATGATAGGGTCAAAAAGGGCTAAAAGTTCAACAAGCTTCAAAAAATTTCCATTGCTCTCACTGTACAGCTTTTCAGTAGTGCCTCGGAATGCCAGGTTTTGCATGCCAAGAAATCTGACCATTGCAATCAAGCGTTCCAAGACCTGTCGCCAATATTGCTCTTCTTCCCAGATTCTCTGCTGGTTGATATTATCAATTGTTTGTCCTTTCTGTAAGTGCACTTCAAGTTTTTTCCAGGCATTAGGGTTGTCTAAATGGAAAGAACTCATATCATGTGAGGCCAGAATTGCTCCAATGTTCTTCCAGTCTTTTGAACCTGGGTCTTGTAGAGTTATTGCACCACCATCTCTTTTGCTGAACAGCCTACAGCAAAAACAAAAAAACACATTTTTGGTGGTGGAATACATCAGCCATTGATGGCTCACTTCTTCACCATTTGGCAGTCTCCTCTTGTAGTGGACAGGAGAGAATCTTCTTTTTCTGGAGTCTTTTGGGAAATCATATGATACAACTGTCAGTATAATCACTGACCTTGAGCCAGACATCCTGGAATGTGAAGTTAAATGGGCCTTAGAAAGCATTACTAACAACAAAGCTAGTGGAGGTGATGGTATCCCAGATGAGCTATTCAAAGTCTTAAAAGATGATGCTGCTAAAGTGCTGCACTCAATTTGCCAGCAAATTTGGAAAACGCAACAGTGGCCACAGGATTGGAAAAGGTCAGTATACATTCCAATCCCAAAGAAGGGCAATGCCAAGGAATGTTCAAACTATCGCACAATTGCACTCATATCACACGCTAGCAAGGTCATGCTCAAGATCCTACAAGCTAGGCTTCAACAGTACGTGGATAGAGAACTGCCAGAAGTACAAGCTGGGTTTTGAAGAGGTAGAGGAACTAGAGGCAAAGGATGAGATGTTTAGACAGTGTCATAGATGCAACGAACATGAGATTGAGCCAACTTCAGAGGACGGCAGAAAACAGGAGGGCCTGGCGAGAGTTCGTCCATGGGGTCGCGAAGAGTCGGACTCGACTGTGCGACTGAACAACAAATGATACAACCTGCTGTGGTCCTTGTTCAACTATAAGCTGTCTTAAAGTATCACTGCAAGAAGTTGTCCAGTTAGCAGGGTCACTGTAATTCAAGCCAGGTGTGGGTCACTTCAACTTGCTGGCACCCGCTGCTGGCTGCACGCACTTGTTTGCGCCCAGGCGCTGACTCAGCTCAGCGAGACACAAGGCAGGCCAGCGAAGCAGCTGGGCTTCTTCTGGGCGGCAGCGGCACGCTGGGGCTTTTGGCGGGGCCGGGGCCAGAGGGGCGCTGAGGCGCGCGTGAGGTGGGCCACCGGGAAGGAGAAAGCAGGGCTTCTTCAGTGAGGGGCGACACGAGGCAGGCCAGCAAAGCAGCCAGGCTTCTTCTGGGTGGGTGGCACACCAGGGCTTTTGGCGGGGGCAGGGGCGAGCCAGAGGGGAGGGGCGCTGAGACGCGTGCAAGGCGCACGAGGTGGAAAGCAGGGCTTCTTTACTAGGCTTTTGGTGGATGCTGGGGAGCTTGGGGGGGCGGGTCCTGTTTGGCGCCCCTTGGGCCGACCCACGCTTTAGGCGAATGCCTGCTCCCCCCCCCAAGAAACCTCCCCCCAAGAAGCCTCCTGCCTTCCCTCTCTTGCACCAGTTTCTTGCAGGCCAGATAAGAGCCCTGGTTGGGTTGGTTCTGGCCCCCAGGCTGGATGTTTGACATCCCTGCTAGGGTTTCCAAGGCAAGAGGTGAACAGAGGTGGTTTGCCATTGGCTGCCTCTGTGTAGTGACCCAGGACTTCCTTGGGAGTCTCCCATCCAAGTACTAACCGGTTTCAGCCCCGCTTAGCTTCCAAGATCTGATGAGATCAGGCTCGCCTGGGGCCATCCATGTCAGGCCATGTTCAGTTGCACAAGTGCTGGATGTAACACAAGAATTACTCAATGCGTGTAGGATGAAAAAAAAAATCAAGTATGCACCGTACAAAGGTTATACATGCAGTCACTGTAGTGTGTGAAAAAGGCAGGTTCAATGTGTTTGTGGTACCACAATGGTGAATGGTCATACTAACAATTTAGCCAAGAGAATAGCTTCTAACTTTGTCAGCGTTTTAAACTTTAAGATCCAAATTCAAGCTTCAACTTAGAAATAACAGTTTTAAAAAAATGACATTTTTTAAAAATCTATAAAACTCATTGCAATGTTGCTGGATCCCTTCTTCATAAGCAACTCATTGTGGATGTAAAATGCTGGAAACGTTTTTTTACAACAGAGAAATCTTAACCATCTTTGCTTAGGACCAACCTGAAATGACACAAAAGGGAGTGTGAGCTTTCAGGTTCTCCAGAGCTCTTCATCAAGCTGAATGTTTAAAAAATGTGGGTGGGGGAGAGAAAAGGGGGGGGAAATCCCAGACGATGAATTTAAGATTGGATGAGACTCTGACTATGATAGTCTGGGCAGGTTAGCCGATTTGATATGGTGCTGGTGTCAGGTTTTGCCCTTCTGGGAAGAAGTAAAAAAATTAATGGAAACTTTCTATTGGAAACAAAAGAACCAGCAGTTGATCAAATGTCACTCTAACACCAGAAGGACACACAGATCCCTTAGAGGGATGATAGCATAAGAGGGATGTGGTCATCATCAACAACACGGGATGCTAATTTTAGTTGGTGCATAAGGTAAATACCTTATCCAGATACTTTCTTATGCTTTCTCATTCATCTTGGGTAAATGTGGAAAGAGGATGATTAAGGCTGATTCTGCACTGGCTTTTTCCTCTTGTTGTTTTACGAAACCCAGGTTGGAACAGAAATCCCCCTCTGCATTGCATGCTGGTTTCACTCCCTTTGATTATTGGGATTTATGGTGGCGTGCACACCCCATGCCACTTTCAAGTTCTTTGATCATCATCGGATTTAATTGTACCTTCTGCATAGATTTATGAATGTTTTATGGCCATTCCGGGGTGACTTTGCAGTCAGTCTGGCGTTGCCCAGGAGGTATTTGAATATGGTTTTGAGCTGCACTTTTTCCTCCCAGTTGAAAAAATGTAGAGCGAATGCCAGATGCAGAATCACCCTTAAACTGCCCCAACTATAGAGTTTTTCTATTGATAGGCAACAACTTTTGATAGCAAAAACGACTGTGTGGATCCCATTCTGTGAAATTTTTATCAATGTTTTCAGGTAAAAGTGATGACGAAGAGAACCTGGACAAAATGGGAGCAGGAACCAGGAAAGCATCCGAGGAGAGCAAGGATCAGAAGAGGCCCAAGCGACCCCGGACAATCCTGACGACGCAGCAGCGCAGGGCATTCAAGGCATCGTTTGAGGTGTCCTCCAAGCCTTGTAGGAAGGTACAAAACTTACAGGCATCATGAACGTTTGAACTGCTAGAGATGGCCAGATAAGGCTTCATTAGATCATCTCGCCACACAGTAATTCAATTTTTTCGTAACCCTGGATATTGTGATCTGAAGGTGCAACACTGAGTCTATAGCCCAGATTTCCACTGTTGGTGAGCAAATGGGAACCCATCAGCCGTGGATTGTGGCCAACCAGGGTGCTTGACAAGACCACCTTTTCAAGCAGGGAGAAGAGCCCGTGGTAGGCTCCTGGTAGCAAACCTTAAAGATTCTTCCTCGTTTTTTCCCTATATGGACAAGTAAAAGGGCTTTTTAGTTCAGAAAAAGAAGACAATAATAAAATGATGCATGGTAACAAAAAGTAGATTTAGACTGGCAAGATTCAAGTCCAGTAGCACTTTAAAGACCAAGATTTTCTGAGTATAAGTTTTTAGAAGCTGAAGCTCCCTTCATCAGATCTGGCAAAAGGAGTTTTGACTCCTAAAAGCTTCTGCCCTCCGGCTGGTCATTTGAGATGCTGCTGCTGCTGCTGCTGCTGCTGGGCTCAAATCTTGCTCTTCTGCTGCTGACCAACATGCCCACCCACCTGAAACTGGATTTCTTAAATTGTAACTCTGTTTAGAATTGCACTGTAAGTTATTGTAATGACAAGTTGACAGTGTTGTGGTAAAGTAAAAAGGCAGACAAAGCACTGTTGATATGTGGACAGCTGTTCAGACTTGAAGTACATAAGAACGTTAAGAGAAGCCATGTGGGATCAGGCCAATGGCCCTTCCAGTCCAGCACCCCCAGGCACCAAGAAGACAGAGTATCACTGCCACAGCCATTAGAAAAGAACAGAAGCCATCTTGGATCAGGCTAATGACCCATCCAGTCCAGCACTCTGTGTCACACAGTGGCCAAAGCCCAGGTGCCATCAGGAGGTCCACCAGTGGGGGCAGAACTCCAAACGCCCTCCCCCTGTTGCCCCCCAAGTACCAAGAATACAGAGCACCACTGCCCCAGACATAGTGTTCCATCTGTACCTTGTGGCTAATAGCCCCTGACGGACCTCTGCTCCACATGTTTATCCAATCCTCTCTTAAAGCTGCCTATGCTTGTAGTTGCCACCACTTCCTGTGGCAGTGAATTCCATGTGTTAATTACTGCAGAAGTACTTTGTTTTATCTGCTCTAAGCTTACTGCTCATTAGTTTCATTGACGTAGTTCTATGTCTGCAATCTCTTCCCAAGAGTGGTTTCAATATTTTTGACAGTATTCCATCAGGATGATGTCAGAACCATGGAACACTCAGACTTTCTGTCTGAGGACTTACCTGTCTGGCTTCCTGTAACTCCCGACAAAATAAAAGTACTGATTGGCAAATTAAATCTAGGAAAAGCAGCTGATCCTGATATAATTCTACCTGAAATGCTAAAACTGGACCCTGACTGGTGGGCTGCTCTTCTTGCATCTTTGTTTACAATGGCTGATAAATCTGGCCTTATCCCTGATGCATGTCTAAATGCAATCATATTCCCAATTTACAAAAAAAAAAAAAAAAAAAGATTGTTCAACTCCTTCCAACTATAGACCTATCAGCCTGCTTTCCGTAATGGGAAAACTGTATGCCAAACATTTACTATCTAAGCTTACCATATGGATGACAGAATGGAGAGTTTTAGGCCTAGAACAGCTGGGATTCTGTAAAGGGAAAACTACATTAGGCCATTGCATTGTTTTATAGCACTTGATTAACAAGTATGTAAAAAGAAGCAATGCAAAATTATATGCTGCCTTCATAGACCTCAAAGGGTCATTCAATTCAATTGACAGGGAACTCCTCTGGGCCAAACTACAACAACTAGATATAGATAAGAGACTTCTTAACCTTAAAAAAAAAAAACTATATACTTCAACAAAATGCCAAATTAAATGTTCACTGTCAGGGAAATTCAAAAATCCCGTTCGATAAAGGAGTCAAACAAGGTTGTATATTAGCACCCTTTCTATTCAAGCTGTTCCTTAATGATCTCTCCTGTTACCTTGAAGCTGTTGATGGCCATGGTCCTAAATTGGGTTCTGTCCATGTCCCTCTGCTATTATATGCAGATGACATGGTACTATTGTCCTGCTCCAAAGCTGGTCTAAAACGCTAATTAAATAGATGCCTTTCATACTTTATAACAAATAAATTACTTCTAAATCATAAAAAATTCAAAAATACTTGTCTTTTTCAAAATGTGGAAACTATTCAAATGAACAGTTAGAGGCAAATCAATTGAACAAGTTAAAACTATTAGATACTTAGGTTTGTACTTCCAGTATAATGCATCTTGGGCTGTGCAACGTAACTCAGCAATAAATAAGGCTAACATCAATGCTTCTGCCATTTCCCAATTTTTCTATACCAATCAGTTCATACCAGCTGCATTAAAAGTCTTCAAGGCCAAAGTAATTCCCCAACTCATGTATGACACTCCAATATGGATAAGCGCACTTAATGGCTTCATTGAACGTGTTCAATCTAAATTTCTCCGAAAGATCATGGGAATGCTGCACTGTGTACCTTATGCAGCTCTAGAAACTGGGTTAAACACAGTGGAATCTGGTGCATGGCTTATGACAGTAAAATATTGGCTGCGTCTACATTACAATGTAGACCAAGTAGGCTTGCCAAGTCCCCCCGGGGGGCGGGGAAACCCCCGCCCCAGAGGCCCGTTCCCCGCTGTTGGCGGATCGGGCCCCGGGGGGACCCCACCAGGGCTCTAGTCGGGGGGGGGAGCTCTCAGGTACGGAGCTCCGGAAGAGAACCTCTAGGGGGCGGGGCGGTCACGTGGTGAAGCCCCGCCCCCTTCTTTACCCCGCCCTCTGCTTCGATCCTCATTCCGTTTGGGAATGAGGATGAAGCAGGAGGGTAAGTAGCCGGGCCTTCTGACACACTTCCGGTGATGTCAGGGGGTGTGGCCTTCTGTCACTTCCGGTGATGTCAGGGGGCGTGGCATATGCAAATAAGTTATGCTAATGAGTTATGCTAATGAGCTCCGGCAGCTCTTTTTCTACAACAAGACCCCTGAATACCATCATGACGTGCGCGTCACCCGGACATGAAGCGACCACGCCGGGCACACTGGGGGCGGGGGCACGGTCATCCGAGGGAAAACTCCATGGTTTTCCCTCAGATGGTCGTGCCCCCGCCCCCAGCGTGCCCGGCGTGGTCACGTCACTTCCGGGTGATGTGTGTGTGGGCACGCTCCAGCTGCCAGCCGGGAGTCCCCCGCTGCAGCGCAACACCGGACTTGGCAACCCGAAGACCAAGGGAGCCTTACACAACAAATGCTCACATGGTCAAATATGTCTAACTGGCTATCACACATTGAGAATAAAATAACTACCATGGATATCCCATTAGACTCACTGTTTATACTCCCTTTTACGGGCGCTTTCCAGATTATTAAATGCAGAGTCCTTGACATTGAAACACAAAGCTTAGCCAACAAATCTTGTTCCCCCCTGAACTTTGAGATGCCCCTCATGGTAGGCCGAATGGCCCCATATCTATCTGGTATACGGATACCGCAACAGCACAGTTCTCGGTTCCTTCCTTTTCTTCACTTGGCATTTAAAAGAATGTCTCTTTTTCTGTTGTATTTTTGGTCTCAAATTTATCAGTTTCTTTGAATGGTGTCTCAAATAAAGTTCAGGTTTCTGTGATATGTTCCCTGTATGTAAGAGCTGGTTAATCAATGGCTCCCTCTCCTGGTCCCAATCCTGTTGTTCTAACATTTGCGAGAGCCTCCCCAGTTCCTCATTATTTTCCGTCTCCGCATGTAAAGTCTGTGATCCTTCAAACAGATTTTTTAAAGCTGTTGCTACTGCTTGTTTGATTGGTTCTTCTAAAAACTTTTTAAATTGTTCAACAGTAAGGTCTTCTATTTGTATAATTATATCTAGATCTTCCTCATCCTCTGCTGCCTCTGCCGCCATTTTCCCAGTCCACCTTAAGTAACTTTAAATATAGCCTTATTAAACACCGTTTAGTTAAATTCCACAATTCTTTTGGCACAGCATTCAGCAGGTTTCTTTTCACACTTTTCCACAGCTCTCACACTAATTAGCAAGTACTTTAGAGTCAGACAGATGTTTTTCTTTTTCCTTACCCTCTGTTGCCTCTGCCGCCATTTTCTCAGTCCACCTTAAGTTACCTTAAATATAGCCTTGTTAAACACCGTTTAGTTAAATTCCACAGTTCTTTTGGCACAGCCTTCAACAGGATTCTTTTGGCATTTTTCCACAGCTCTCACACTAATTAGCAAATACTTTAAAGTCAGACAGATGTTTTTCTTTTTCCTTACCCTTCTTCTCCGTTTCTTCACAACAAGCTCTCCTCCTTACTCTTCATAGCCGCTCTCACTAGATAATTGAGAATACTGAAGGGGTGTTTAAATCCAAGTCTCCATCTCTTGCAAAAAAAAAAGAAATACGCGAGAAGATATCGTTTGTATGAAGTGCCACTTGCTTAGCATTACTTTAAAACAGCTGATCGCTGCTCAGAGAACATGGGAGCCATGCTCTTCCAAATCTTCGTTCCTGCTTCAGGGCAGACCAGCATCACCCCCCGTGATTGCCATCTACAGGGGGGGGCAAAGCCCCCTGCTACTTCACCTCCCTCCAGGAAGTGAAGCAGAGCTCATTCGCACAAACGGGGTGCTCCAAAATGAATGAAGAGGAGCCGGACGGGTCGGAGATACTCCCAAATCCGTCCGTTCGCAGCGCCGTTTTTCACATTCTGGGCTTTTATCAATGCCTTGCTGAGATAGCAAAAGCTCTTCCTTGTCCTTCCCGTTTAAACAGGAACTCAGTGGTTTCTCCCAGAGATTCTCACATGCCGTATTAACTGCTGGTTTAATCTCCTCACATAAGAGTTTTTTAAACTGTTCATAGGTAAGTTGCAAGATTTGTGTATTTTCCCATTCCTCCATTTCAAATGCCATTTTCTTTATTTCGCTATGCACCCCACTTGAAGCTTTTACGAAGTTTTTAGTCCCCGTTTCTTTTTCCGGCCACTCTTCCAATAATGGAAGTCATTCAGAGGGGTTTTTAAGTAAAGAACGTCAGATGTTATGATTTGGATTCGTACTCACATTATATTCCTTGTTTTACCTTGTTTTGCTGCATATTATGTTTTGCATTAATTCGGTAGTCTCTAAAAAGGGCGGTCGCCTCTTTGCAAATCATGGTGCCCATGTTTGCTCCATTCCCTGCTTCTGCTTCAAAACATTCTCTTCTTCCCCCATTCATTGCTACTCACGGGGTGACCAAGCAAGTCTCCTACTACCAGCCTCCCTCCAGGAGATCTGGTGAAGCCCGACAGAGGTCTTGGGGACCTGCGGAGCTTCAAAGAAAACAAGGAAGGACGGGGTTCATCGGGAATGACCCAAGTGAACACCCACGGTGACGTGCCACTGCCCCCTCTTCTCTAGCAAGATTCAATGTAATACCATCAGCAATCTTGCATGGGAGATATAATAATAACATAGTAAATGCGGATAACAGCGTAACAGGTAACAGCGTTCTGTGCGCCTTGGTGTTTAGTCATGCCGGCCACATGACCACGGAAAACGTCTTTGGACAGTGCTGGCTCTTCGGCTTGGAAACGGAGATGAGCACCACAACCCTAGAGTCGGACTCGACTGGCTTTCGAGCAAGGGAACCTTTACCTTTACTTATATGCGGATAGACTTTGCCATTGCAACTCTGGATGCATTGAAACTGTTTCGCATATTTGTTTGCATTGTCAATTTTATGTGGATTTATGTTCTAGATACTTAAATCCTATCTTAGCCAACATGACGAACCTTCCTGATGCTTTAAAAGTGCACCGTCTTCTAAATGACTCTGTTCCAGAAATATCAATGAACGTAGCCATGTTTTTACAATCTGTGATAAAGCTACACCAGGAAAACTACCAAAGAGTAATTGTTTTATGCAGTACTGTGCAATATTATGTAGTTGGTAAGATGCTCAGCTCTATATGTATGGCTCTATATGGTTTTAAATGTATAATTCCTTTTTTATAGTAATCCTCTTTTAAGGTATTTTTATGCCAATAAGGGTTAACTGAACTGAACTACACAATTTAATCAATTAATACAAAAAAATGTGACATTTGTAATTCAGCAACTTTTTCGAATTCAAAATGATAATTTTTGGTGGGAGTATGAATGATCCAGTTCAGGGCTTTTTGACATATTAAATGTTTAAGTGTACACTTAGAAATGTCAGAGGTCAATGTGACAAACTGTAGTTTGAAAGCGTCAGTATCACACAGACATTCTCTTCAAATAGTTGGGATGGTTTCCATATCTCCCTGTTGTCTACTTAGTGGCAAAATCAGGTATGCTGCTGAAGAATCTTGCACTGAGATTTCAATTTGTCACCTATTAGGTGCAACCGACATTCAGAATTTGCCGTTGGTTCCTAGATCTCTCATCAAGATTTAAAACCTTAAAAACTGGAAATGTTTTTAAACATCCTCATTCAAATTTCAAACACTTTCCTCAAAATGCATAGGGGAGGTAAGCATATTCAAATGTCATCATGCACAGTTTCTTCAGCGGTAACTATTTTGCTAAAGATTTGGTTTCGGTATGAAGGAATAACAGTATTTGTTGTTCTGATGTTTGGTGAAGGTGAGAGAAACATTAGCGGCGGAGACGGGGCTGAGTGTCCGGGTTGTACAGGTCTGGTTCCAGAATCAGAGAGCGAAGGTAACCTTTCTCTTTAAATAACTTGACATCTTTTTACAGAAGCTTTTAGGCTGGAGGTGGGGGATATGTGCAATTGGTGGACTGGAGTCTGGATCTGAAACTCATGCCCGGGAATACCCATTCAGCCACTTCAAAAAGACAGTGCCTAACATATGCCAAAGCCCATACGTCCCAGCTTCTGATATCATCTATTTATTGGCTTTACGGTTTTTGCAACCGGAGTCATAAACTAGCAAACCCTCATCCCACAATAAACCTCATTCCACAAGAAAACGTGGAAGAATTTAAAGGTTGCTACTGCAAAAGTTGCCATGTGATTTGACAACAGCTGCTAGAAATTTTGCCACGCGCAGAGTAGTGTGTTTGTCTCTAAGTAACCAGGATTATTTTGGCATTGTTGTTGGAGGCTGGATGCCTACTGAAAAGGTTGAGCACACTCCGTGGGCTAGTGGTCAAATCTCAGATGTCTTCTAATGAACTGTGACAGTTCTTGTCTACTCGTGACTTCTATCACGCCATAGGTGACATAACAGTTTATGGTCCAATCATCTGTCCCAATCACTTGTGTGGTGGTCCAGCTTGACTAGTTTGAGGAGGTTTTAGATCTTGGTTTGATTTTAGAGTCCTAATTTTCAAATTACATGCTCTTCCCCACGGCGGGGAGGGCAGGATATAAATTTAATAATTAATAAATAAATAAGACATCTCTCCAACTTTGGCTCTTGAGGCTACTCCAGAAACACACTGAGGTGTTCCCAGAATACTGTGTAGGAATCTTAATAGAAGTATGTTGATATTGTCTGTTACTGCAGTGATCCAGGCCCCGGCAATGCTTGAACACCTGCCAGTTCTGGTTGCTTCTGTTCAACAATGGTGTTCTGGAAGCCAGTTAATTGACAAGCTGTTCATAACTATTCACTGCTTGCAGCCATCAGAAGCCCATTCTCAGATCATGAGGGATCAGCTGGGAGTTGGCTACTGATCTACTGCTGGTGTCATTTTACTCTGTAATCAGCAAAGTACTGGGGGGTGGGGGTGGGGATGAATCAAGCGCTGACTCCCAGTTGGGTTCTTCTGATCTCCCATCCTGGAAACTCTACTACATCCCAGATTTTCTTAGATGCAGTAAATTTAGTGGGGAGAGGAGGTGATGAGAAGCTCACCTGATTCCTCTTCCTTTTGCAGTTGGGAGCTCAGGGGCATTACATGTGGGGCAGGGAGACAGAATCGATCTCTTTCTCCTCTCCCGTTTACAATGCGGAGATCAAAAACATTGCCTCTGTCCCCACCTAGTTTGCTTGGGGAGGAAACGAAACCAGCTCTATCCAACCTCCCTCTTGCAATGCAGAGTTCAAAAGTGTTGCTTTTGGCTCATTCTGCATCTAGCATTCGCTCTGTTGTTTTACCAAACCCACACTGGAACAGAAAAAGATGTGGCTCAAAACCCCAGGCCAACGCCATACTGACTGCAGAATCACCCCTGAACAGGCATAAAATGGCTTCTATGCAGACAGTTCCATAAAACTTGAGAGATCAAAGGAAGTGAAACCGGGCAGGGAGTGTGGACGCTACCATAAAATGCGACAATCAAAGGAAGTGAAAGTGGCACGCAATGCAGAGGGGGATTTCTGTTCCAGCCTGGGTCTGGTAAAACAGTGGAGTGAATGCGAGATGCAGAATGGGCCTTTGTCCCCTTCTGGCTAGAAGGAGAGGGAAGAGAAATGAACTTTTTCTGCTCTCCCTTTTGCAACCTGGCTGTGTAGCTATGTTGTTGACGTGTGTGTGTGTGTGTGTGTGTGTGTGTGTGTGTGTGTGTGTGTTGGGCTCCCGTAAGTTGTGAATCGGCTTCTGAGCAAGAGACACGCAGCTGTTTGGGTGGCTCGATATAACCAGAGCCTCTCCTCCATCAGCTGACAGTCTGATCATGAGAGGGTAATTTGGACTTGTGGCATCCCTTGTCACTGTGCATGCAGATTCCTGAAATGTGACTATGGGCTGAGACGTACTCGTTGGCTTGGATCTACTGGAGAATTTCCACACTCATAAGGGGGAAGGGATTTTTGCCAATTCTTCCCTCCCACAGAAGGCCTCACACTGCTCTTAAGGTTCCCCCGTCCCTTCAGGACCAAGATCTCAGGGGGCCTTTTGGATGGCAATGGAGTCGTGTTCCATGACTGGAAAGTCCCTGTGTCTGCAGACACCTTCCCATGGATCAACACTGTCTTCATTACTGTAGGGAGGCACCTCGTTGTGGAGAGCCAGTTTGGTGTAGTGTTGAGGAGCGCAGACTCTAACGTGGGAGAACCGGGTTTGAATCCCCACTTCTCCACATGCACCTGCTGGTGTGACCTTGGATCAGTCACAAGTTCTCTCGGAGCTGTTTTCTCAAGGGCAGTTCTCAAGAGAGCTCCCTCAGCCCCACCTACCTCACAGGGTGTCCGTTGTGGGGTGGGGAAGGGAAAGGAGATGATAAGCTGCTCTGAGACTTCTTTGGGTAGTGAAGGGTGGGATACAAATCCATCCTCCTCCTCCTTCCAAACCACACAGCTTTGTTTTACAGATGTTACTGGAGCAATGTAAGAACCAGATGCAGGGAGACAACTTCTGTGTTGCTCCAGTAACACTTTAGTATGCTAGAAGTTCCAGGTAGCCACATTGATCCAAAGAAAAGTCCAGAAACAAACCCCATGTTATACCTTTTACTAACCAAAATGACGTATGGCTTTTATGTTCTGCAGAGCTGTTCATCACTCTGGATATTTGAAGGGGGGGGGAGAGAAAGAGATGCTTGAGACCTTTTCTGGAGGCAGGAGACATGTTTTGAGTTTTTGGAATATAAGAGGCAAAAGATAGCCACACACAGACACACACACAGAGGCTGTTTGGAAATGTCAGAAAGTAGACCTGAATCAATTAGAATGGAACGAACATACTACTCAAATTCTGAAAAATCCAAACCTCTGCATCTCAAAAACCACATAGAAAGCTGCACCTCAAAACCAAATATTAAAATCCCAAAATCAGATTTCAAAATGTCATATGTTTACAAATTAAAGTATGCATGAATGGGAGGGGGGTTATGTGTGTGTAGAAGGCTTATCTATGTGCTTGTGCTCAAATGACATTGAAAAGTTCAGGGTTCAGAAAATGGTGGATGTTAAAATTATTAAACATCAAATTCATAAACTCCTAATATGTCTTGGAAATGTAACATATAATATTTGGAACTCTCGTCCTCAATGAAGAGTAGATATGTTAATGATTTGAGGATGTATGCTGGGTATTCTGTCTTTGGGGGGAAATTCTAAAATTTGAAGTTATTCTATGAAAATTTGACACTCCAAATATTTTTGTACTGAATTTTTGAAAACACAGTGGACTTTTGCTGGAAGCCGATTGGATTTGTAGGCTTGGTTTTTCTCCAGCTTTTTAGTTTCCAGATGAATTAGAGCTTCTGTGAGAACCGGACTATGTGAACCGGCAGGATTCATGTTTCCCGGGGGCATTCAGGCAAAGGGTCTCGTTATGCATTGCGCAGCCTGCCTGAGCTGTGTGAGGTTTCCTGGCTTTTCTCTTTTTAAGAGCTGAATAATGAGTTATCAAACTTAACCGATTCATGATTGTCTGCAAATGAATGTTAGTTGCAAAGGGCTAGCTGTGTCAGGCTGTCATAACAAAGTAAAAGTCTGGTGACACCTTAAAGACTAATACTGAAATAAATATGGTTCGTATTTAAGGTGCCACTTGACTTTCATTTCATTTAACTGAATGTTAGCCAGTTGGTGGTGCCATTATTTCACCTACCCTCTGATTACTAATGGCTTATATAGCATTTAAAGACATTGAGGGTACTTCTTGTTATGGGCTTTAATTACTCTGACCCTGTTTGCTTGCTGGAGGTCTTACATGTTTGGACTCAAAACATCTTTCATAAAAAGAGTGGCTTTTAATTTTTTAAAAAACTATCTGAATATGATCTCTGTATCTCTACACTTGATGCTAAAAACATGAAACAAAGGTATTAATCTCTTGATGTATGACTCTTTTGGCTCCAGTTTGGCAAATAATTTCCTTATCAACTGGAGAAAACAATAAAGAGAATAAATAGTTTCCCTGCTCTTGTCTGCCTCTTTATGTAAGAAGCCAGTTTGGTGTAGTGGTTAAGACTCTAATCTGGGAGAACCAGGTTTGATTCCCCACTCCTCCACATGCAACTGCTGGTGTGACCTTGGGTCAGTCACAAGTTCTCTCAGAGCTGTTCTCTCAAGAGCAGTTCTCAAGAGAGCTCTCTCGGTCCCACTTACTTCTCAGGTGTCTGTTGTGGGGAGGGGAAGGAAAAAGACATTGTAAGCCGCTCTGAAACTATGAGTGAAGGCCAGGATATAAATCTTCCTCTTCCTCCTCCTCCTCCTCCTGCTCCTTCTTCATGACTCCTGTGTCCTTTCCACTTATCTTACAGGACCACAAAAGAGACACGAGTTTACAGAAACCACATGGACTGTGTAATGTGTCATAAGACACAAAGAGACAAAACAGCCCAACCCAGTCATCCCGCTGTGCAAGTGGGGGACTGGGCGTCTCATATAATGCTGATAGAGCAAGGAGGGTATACCAGAATGGATGGAGATGGCTAAGCAGAAGCTGTGATGAGTGGGGCATAGCTGGACTAAAATATGTTTTGAACTGTGTTGGGATCTCAGGAATTATAGACTGCAGCATCAGTAGGATAGTATTCTATGTAGATGTGCCTGCTGTTTAAATAAAAAAACCCATAGATTGGATTTGTTCTAATTTTCCCTTTCTGGTAACAGATGAAGAAACTGGCAAGACGACAACAGCAGCAGCAGCAAGATCAACAAAACACACAGCAACTCAGTTCTGGTACAGCTTGCCTCTAGATCCTGTTCTATCTGGGGAACCCTGGGTCTCCTTAGGACCTTCGCCACACCCAGCCAGAAATGTCACGATGAGGAAGTGGACTCCCTTTTCCAGGGCAGCACCAACAGCTGCTGAGCAGGAAGAATGGATTTTTTTTTAGTTCCTCTCTTTTCAGAGCCACGTTCTGCACATCCTTCATTGGCTTGTGCTTGCAACAGAGAAATGGGGGGGGGGGGGGGAGAGGATCAGGGCAACCTAGGGAACTGGTGGCCAGTGAAAGATTCCTTCTGCAATTTGTAAACTTTCTCAGAGATCTTTAAAAAGTGTCATGTGCCATCATGGCCTTCCTTCCAACCCTTGTTATTAATCTGACTTGCCTCTCCCCATTTCAAGGCTACGTTTTTGCGAGTTGCACATCTTCGGCCCCGATCACACGGGGGAAATTCACACGGCCAAAGTGCGGCTTTTTAGAGCCGCACCAAAAGAGACACGTGGCGGCAGGATCAGACAGGTCCCCTGAGCCACTGCGCAGTTGCTCCCCGGCACGATCAGATGCCGGGGGGGGGGGAAGCCATGGAAGGGGGGGAAAGGCAGCTGGCGGTGCGCACATGCGCAGTTCGGCCAGGAGCCTCGAATGCTCCTGAAGACGGGCACGCCGGCGATCCCACGGCCACGCTTGCTGCAGCGTTTCAGGTAGGTGCTACTTTTTCCTAGGTTTTTTTTTTAATGCGCGTTTTCAGCCTGAAGGGACAGATCGGGGACGGGTGCCCACCGCTTCCCAGATGTTGCGGTGTGATCGTCCCCATTTGTTGCGCCCCCCAATCCGTCCCTCTTCTGGGCCAAAACCTCCCGTGTGACCGGGGCCTTCATTACACTTGTTGACTTGGGAAATAGTCACAAGGTTAGAGAACTGTCACCTTTTCACTTCTTTGTTCCTAGACTTCCCATTCACCATGTTCTACCTAAAAACTCTCTGGCTGGGGTCCCCCAGTATCATCTCTATGGTCTTCAAATCTTCATCTCTGTCTTCTGCTGGACATCCTTCCTTTGAATGAGTTACCTTTGCTGTACATGTCCTCAAACACATGCTGCTAATCGATCTATCTTCCCACACTGTCTTGGATGTCTTCTTCAATCCCAGCGGCCCCTGTTTTGAATGAACCTACCTACTTAAGATCAATAGTCCAGTAGCGCCTTAAAGACTAATAAAGTATGTGGCAGGATATGAGCTTTCGTGAATCACTGCTCACTTCTTCAGATACCAGATACTTCAGCAGTGACCCATGAAAGCTCCTCCTCTGCCACATATTTTGTTAGTCTTTAAGGTGCTACTGAACTCTAGATTTTTTCTACTGCTACAGACAGACTTAATAACATAAGAAGACACCTGCTGGATCAGACCAGTGGTTCATCTAGTCCAGCACCCTGTCTCACACAGTGGCCAGCCAGTTCCTCTGGAGAACCAGCTACAGGGCATAGAGGCCAAGGCCTTCCCCTGATGTAGCCTTCTGGCTCTGGGATTCAGAGGTTTAGTGCCTCTGAATGTAGAGGTTCCCTTTTGTCACCATGGCTAGTAGCCACTGATAAACCTCTCCTCCATGAATCTATCTAATCCTCTTTTAAAGCTGTCTATGCCTGTGGCCATCACTACATCCTCTGTTAGTGGATTCCACATTTTATAATTTATTTATATTCATTTATTTATTTATACCTTCAATTTGTACCCCGCTCACCCCCGAAGGGCTCTGAGTGGCTTAAACGGTGCATGGTGCAGAGACCTATGCAGAAACCCTAACTATGGCCACAGTACGTCTGGGGTGGGGGGAGCCCTACCAGGTACTCTCCTGGCTCCGATCATTCGTTTATCCGGCGAGTGGGCGACTTCTTCCAGTTCCCTCCGGTGCGTCTTCCGCGGCCTCCGCTATTCTTTCGGCTCTCTGGCGACTCCTCTCGGGGGCTGTTGGTTATGGGCCCTGGTGCGCAGTCGCGGTGGGTGTCACAACGTCCTTGCGGCTCCGGACGTCCTCCTGCTGGCCACGTCATTTGGAAGATTAATTGTTCACTGTTTGAAATGTTAGAACTGTTAAAAATTGTAAATAAAAAAAATAAACATATGATGGGAACTTTGGGAAGTGCTGAAAACAATGATATGTAAAATATAGAAGATAATACAAATTGAAAAAAAAATTTAAAAAATCAATTACTTTTTCCTGCAATCACTTTTTTCCTGCATAAACACCATTCTAATTGAGGAACTGAGTGCATTTATTTTGCAAATGACCACTAAGGATAGGTCTATTGAGAGACCTCTTGTATTTCATAGATGAGAAAGCAGATAGATATATTTTTGCTAGTTAGTACTGTAGGCCTTTGCCTGGTCCCTGATAGGGTCAGCCCATTTGTGCTGCAGCTGAGAAATGGAGAGGTTATATTTGGGGTAGGTTATTATGAATTTAAATGGAGTGGAAAGGTGAAAGTAAGAAACAGGTAACAGCTCCTGGGCTTGGAAGTTCAGAGATGTCATCACAAAAGTCAACGGGATCGTACCTCTTGGCAAGTAGGTGATATGGAAGGGTATGATGACAGAGCTCTTGGCAAACTATTGCTTCTCTCCTTGTCTTCCAGCTCAGACAAACAGTGGCAGTAACATTGGGCTTGAGGGGATCATGAATGCCTACACCACCTTACCGCAGCCCCCACAACCAATGCTGGCTATGGATCAAAGTGTCTACAGCTCGGATCCCTTCCGGCAAGGACTCACTCCGCCACAGATGCCCGGGGACCACATGCACCCCTACGGTGAGGACTGAAGACACTGCATGTTTACTATTTCTTTTACTTATGTATTTTCGTATTTATAGCCCTCCCTTCCTGCAAGTAGGAGCTGCAGTGGCTCAAGAGGTTAAGACGCTGAACTGCAGGCTGTGGAAGGTCGGTAGTTCAGCAGTTCGAGACCCAAGTGTGCCGCATGATGGAGTGAGCTCCCGTCTCTAGTTCCAGCTCCTGCCAGCCTAGCAGTTCTAAAGCAAGAAATTGCAAGTAGATAAATAGGTACCACTTCGGTGGGAAGGTAACAGCGTTCGGTGCGCCTTGGTGTTTAGTCATGCCGGCCACATGACCACGGAAACGTCTTCGGACAGCGCTGGCTCTTTGGCTTGGAAACGGAGATGAGCACCGCAACCCTAGAGTCGGATTCGACTGGCTTTCGAGGAAGGGAACCTTTACCTTCCTGCAAGTAGGCTCTGGGTGGGTAACAACATTCCAGTAATACAATAAAATAGTTAAAAATTTAAAAACACATAATAAACATTAAAATGGAAGACACATTTCAAACAGAGATTAACTGGTTGGTAATGGCTAATTGTTAGCAGATGGGTGATAGAATCTAAGGAAGCCATATCTGGCCTGGCGGAAGAGCTCCGTCTTGCAGGCCCTGTGGAACTGAAGGAAGTCCCACGGGGCCCTGATCTCAGTAGGCAGCCCGTTCCACCAGGCAGGGGCCAGGGCTGAAAAAGCCCTGCTCCTAGTTGAGGCAGGATGGGTGTCCTTCAGGCCAGGGACCACCAGGAGGTGTTGATCCATAGAACGCAATGCTCTCCAGGGCATATACAGGAAAAGGTGGTCCCTCAGATATGTCGGTCCCAGGCCGTGTAAGGCTTTGAAGGTGATTACCAACACCTTGAAGCGGATCCCGAACTCAACTGGCAACCAATGCAGTTGGTGGAGTACCTGCCAAACATGAGCCTGCACAGCTGTTGACATTAGCAGGTGCATCGCCGCATTTTGTACCGGCTGTAATTTCTGGGTCAGCCTCAAGGGTAAGCCTGCGTAGAGCGAATCACAGTCATCGAGCCTAGAAGTGACTGTTGCATGGGTCACTGTAGCTAAGTCCTGTTGCAGATTCTGAGAGTGCAACCAGAAGAAAAGTTGCTTTCTTTCATAAACTGGCACTTCTTGTGTGTCCTGCGCAGTGTCACAGAGGAAGTGAGATGAGCCTTTAAAAGTATGAGCTTCGGACTGTCAAGAAGCACCTGTAGAAAGACAAACTTGGAAGAGGGACCTAAAACTTTGGAGTTTCCTTCCTCCTTGACTAATAGCTTTCAACATTATTTAAACCAGGATTTTATGATGCATTTTGTTTATTTCACTGATTTGTATATTTAAGATTTACATAGGGGGAGCCTTCTAGGAGTGGGTGGGTCACAATTCTAAAGTTGTAATCCAGAGGGAAGGTCCCCTGCCGATTAGACATTGAAACAAAGGCAGAACTGTTCAAGAGCACTACTCATAGGGTTGCCAGGTCCCGCCGGCCACTGCCAGGGGATGGGGGGTTAGGGTTGCCAAAACCAGGTTGGCAAACCCCTGGAGGTATGGGGGTGGAGCCTGGAGAGGACAGGGACCTCCGTGGGGCACAAGGCCACAGAGCCCACCCTCCAAAGCACCCATTTTCTCCAGGGGGACTGATTTCTGTGGTCTGAAGATGAGCTTTAATTCCGGGGGATCCCCAGGTCCCACCTGGAGGCTGGTCTCCCTATGAGCAGACTCCATCAGTTACAGGAGGAACTCATACAGGAGGGACTTTCTGATGGACTGGGCCTCTGATAGAACAACTGCTTTTTGTTTGTCTCTCCTGAAGGCGTTGAGCCATTTCCCCACGACCTTGATAGTGATGACACATCCCTCAGCAACTTGGGTGACTGTTTCTTAGTGACCTCAGAATCTGGGCCCCTGCAATCAAGAGTGGGAAACCCCATTGACCACCTGTATTCCATGCAGAGCTCCTATTTTACATCTTGAGGCGTCAGATGCTCTGCACAGAACTGGTTCCTGGATCGTTTACAAGCCCCTTTTAGAGCGAGAAAGGAGAGAAAGGCAGAGCATCGGAAGACTACAGTGGGTTTCAAGAGGATTCCTGTAAAGCCAAGAGCTGACAATTATTTTCCATGTTCGGAAGTAGGTGAATTTGTTTCCCACTTGAAAACCAGGACCATTTGTGAAGGATATTTCAAAACTTTAATCTCCATTTCCTCACCGGTTTATAGAATGAATAAACTGGGGAAAAACATTTCCCAGTTTCAATTTTTGGATGCAAACTAGTGATTTTGGATGGGATTTCTTCCCTATAGTTCTTAGAATTTTCAGATATTAATCGGTTAGCCGTCCTGTTTGCTTCTCCAAGATGCTGCCCCTGTGGTTGTGTCTTTCACTCAGTGGTTGCTGCGGCTTCTTCTTCCTCCTCCTCCCTGAATCAGCCACATGTCTGTTCTCATCCAATCAGGGATCCTGTAGTCAATGGAATGACGTCACAATGTTTCATATGTATCTATCTCATAGTCGAATAGATCTGGCTGAACGGTAATATAACTGGGGGGAAGTGAGAATAAGTGAGAGCGGGAAAATTAATAAATTAAGGTATCTTGCCACGAGTGTTGAAGACTTACAAGGGGAGGTGCTTTTGGATTGGCTGACTATGCAATAACAATAATTTGAAGTTTGAGCTCAGCCCTTGCTTAAATTCCTCATATGCACTATAGCAAACTGATTTTTTTAAAAATATTCCCCCCACACATACACTTTGACATGTGAAACACCTAAAATTGCCAGGTCCCCCCTGACCACTGGCGGGGATGGGAGTGGGGTTAGGGTTGCCAGCTCCAGGCTGGGGGGAGGACAGGGGGACTGCAGTGGGGCACATAATGTCCTGGAGCCCCCCCTCCCGAGCACCCATTTCCTCCAGGGGGACTGGCCTCTGTAGACTGGAGGTGAGCTGTAATTTGGGGGGATTCCCCAGGTCCCACTTGGAGGCTGGCATCCGTAGAAACAGCTAGCAAGAAGCAAGTGTGCTTGTGTGAGTGAGTGAGTGAGTGAGTGAGTGAGTGAGTGAGTGTGCATGCATTTAGGGAAGTGTGTGCTTGTATATACCAGACACAGGCGCACCTAATATTGTATCAGGTTTGTTCCTAATTACATCAGAAAATACTGTATAGCCAAAAAAAAAAAATCAACCCAACTTTATTTTGTGTGTGAATCGTATTTAAGCAATGCACTTAAGTTATGGAATGAAAAAGAAGTGATTTAAAAATAATTAATTAAATAAATGTGTTTTGTTTGCAAAGACTGAGCAGCTGGAAGGAGCCTCCTTCTCTGCTGGAAGCAATTCAGTGCTTTGTTTTTTTGTTTTTCCAATGGAAATCCTTATCCAGAAATATCAGGGCCAACAATTTCCCCCCTTGTGTCAGCAATCTAGCACTCAAGGAGAGCTGTGCCATTCAGTTCAGTGAGACGGGAGCTGCAGCCACTGTTACCCGTACAAGAGAGAATTATTTGCAAAGGTAAAAAGTGACAGGTTTTATCCGACTCCTTATACCGTCACTGGCAAAAAGACTGGCCTTATAGACGCAAAATAAAATCACCTGAAAAAATGAATGCCTTCCCTTGGGTTTTTAAGCAGGTCACAGAAGGAAACACATTTCATGCTCTGTGAAGAACCCAGGAATCTCTCACTATGAGTTGTGGTTCACATGACTAACGAGCTCAGTGTCTGACTCTCCCCAAGGGCCAGAACCTCCATTGTTCCTGGGGATCATATAATACACTGGAAAGGGTGGCTGGTTTGCAAAATAGAAACAGAACCCGAGAGCCTGACAACAGATCCCTACACCTAATATGTCTAGTCCAAACAAACAGCCGCAGCTAATGGAAGGACTCCAGGTGAATATGCCACAGGTTTCGGGCTAGGCTTTGGAGGATGTCCTTCCTAGTGAGTTAGACCTGCCCACCCTCCTGCCCATGGAGCCAAGAGAATCTACTATTTAGCTGACCTGACTGAAGCACCCCTCCAGGGCTCTCAGCTGCCACCTTTCATCTTGTCCTCAGTAGCAGTTCCCGGAGCCAGTCAAGTTCAGGTCCCCGTGTTGCGGAGCTGCAAGCCCTTCTGTCCTCTGTGTGTGGACATCACCGTTGGGCACCATGACAGACAAAGGAGGAGGCCCGGAAGCTTGGACTGTTGTAGCGCCAAGTCAGAGGAACAGAAGAAAGTGAGTTTATCATGATTCTTTGCTTAATAAGAAGAGAGGGATTATTCTCTCCCTTACTCTTTCTTCTCCCCTTCCCTACTCCGACCTGTTGGCTACTCAGGTTGTGCCACATCGCTCCCCTGCATCTTCAAAGACAAGACATTCTTCTTGAATATAGAAAGATCACTGAAAACAGAGAATTGTCCCTCCACAAAGACATGGAAGATGTGGGCCTATCCAGACTAAGATCCTGACACCCGGCAATAAAATCTGCAAAAATCCTGCAATCGCAAAATTTCGATCTAGGGAACGGATGGTTGAGAACATGGATGCAATCAGTTCCACCCGATATCCATAACCTGATAAACGCCAACGAGAGGCCCGCAGGATTTGACTTGCTATGTAAAATATGGAAGACGTCCGATAGAATATGAACAGGCTTCAGCAGTTGTACAGACCTGTTGTTTAATTGGGGCAAAATGCCAGGACCCAAATGTGATTGTTTTCCCTCTGTTAGGGGTACTCCAGTGAGGGGATTTGGGGGGGGGCATTCCAGGGGTGGGTGGGGGATGCCCCCAAGCCCCACCTTCAAGAGTAACCACCCTCCTGGCCACCCTTTCCCTCCCCTCCTCCCTGATTTAAAGGGCTTCAGCTGAGTGGGTGGGACCACATGGCCCACTGACCAGCTGGAAGGCCATAGGGAGAGGGAGGGGGTGATCATGGGCCGCATGCTTGGCTCGCAAGCAGAGTGGGGGCCATGGTGCATGGGGCTGGAGGAAATCAGCCCCACACATCACAGCCCCCACCCCACTTGCAAAAACCCATTTAAAGCCAGTGACTGCCCCTCTGCCTCCCTCTTGGTAGATTTAAAGGGCCTGCCAGCTGGTCAGCGGGCTATGTGGTCCCTGCCGTTCAGCTGGAGCCCTTTAAATTGGGCAGGAGGGAGGGAGAGGGGTGGCCAGGCAGGTGGTTGCACTTGGGGTGGGGCTTAGGGCAGGGCTTCCCCCACTGGCCAGCTGGCCAGAGCAGATTTGAGCTCCCAAAAGCGGGGGAACCCCCGCCCAGACCTGGGGGCTGGCAACCCTACATCTGTCACAGGGATGTGAGCATCGTGCCTTTCAGGGAGATGTGATGGAGCTGCGATTGGGTGGATTCAGATATTCGTATTTAGTGGGATTGCCCAATTGGTCTGCGTACCCATCTGGTTTCTCTTCAGATCGCATCGTATCACCTTGGTTATGTATTTTATATTACTACATGTTTCCTGTGTGGAACTCTGCCATACGATAAGTAAACAAACAAATCTGGGGTGCAGTTCTTCAGGCCCCGCAATTCTTCAGGCCAACTCTGGGCTGGGAAATTCCCAGTGAGGACAGCTTTTGGTGAGGGGAGGGACCTCAGCTGGGTTTAAGGCCACAGAGTCCACCCTCCAGAGCAGCCTTTTTCTCCAGGGGAAATATCTCTGTAGTTAGAGATCAGTTGTAATTCCAAATGATCTCCAGACCCTGCTGGGAGGTTGGCCACCGTAGCCTTCATGTGTGTGGATCCATCCCACAGAAACCAGTATAGCCGTCCCCTTCCCCACTAGGTTGTCTCTGGTGTGCACAGTTACAGCCTGCATGTACACTCCAAGGATCTCCCTTTTGCTATTCCTGGGAGAAACAGAAGACCCCCAACTCAGGACCCCGGGACAGAATAAGATTTGGGATGCTTCCACAGGTCTGGTGGTGAAGAAGGCCTCTTCTTGGTGAGTACAGAATGGTACAAAATTCTCCATGCCTGGCAGCATAGTGATGACCTACCAGTTGTATGGGGCAGCTTTTATGACCTTGTGGGGCCAGAAAGATTGCATCCATCGGGGGTGAAGTGTGATGACTGTGAAAGTTGTGAATGTGTATTGCACTCACAAAAAGTAACAGAAGGCCTTTTATGGACAAACATTTGTCTCTTGCAAAGTACGATTTGTATGGATCTCTTCTTCCTTTTCACCTGTATTTATATAAGGAAGACCATGGACAAAAAAGAAGCCTTTCCCTTAAGATCTCTTCTGAGATCAGCACAGACATAGACTCGCCCATCACCCCATCGTGGTTTGTGTTGCCTAATAATCTCACACTTTTTATTAATAAATTACATACAAGAAAGAAACTTTGAATGAAAAGTAGTTATGACTTGGTTGGTTTCGACTGTGCTAAAGACCATGTATGAAGGTGTGACAACATGCAACTGGAACTTCAATGAAAATGAAATAAATAATTTAAAACCCATTTCAAAATGGCTAATGTCGTGTTAAAGTTTATTGGGGTAATATTGAGATCCGGGCAATGTGAAATATCTAGAAAACGGATGGATGGATGGATGGATGGATGGATGGATGGATGGATGGATGGATGGCGAGTCGAGCGAGCAAGCGAAGGCTGGGCCGACGGAGCACAGAGGTGGGGTGATGCAGCAGGCCGGAGCCTATTGGACGGAGGCCGCAGCAGGAGCACGCACTGACGTGCCCTTGGCCCAAGCCCATGGAATCGCGGCGACCAAAGGAAGACCTGCGCCAGGAAGATGCCGTCGCCGGATTGGAAAAGACCTCCCGCAAGAGAGACTGTAACAACAAGACTTTGCTGTAGGGTGCCTGTTAGGTTAGTCACTTCCCCCCATTGTATGTATATGGCCCTTAGGTAGGAACTGTATGAACTGTATGATGTAAACCGCTCAGAGCCCTTAGGGGGTGAGCGGTATATAAATTGAAGGAATAAATAAATAAATAAATGGATGGATGGATGG